GCGATTCGACTCACGAGAGATGAAGTTTCGGCGGCTTTCGGGGTGGCCGGCGCGCTGGGCCGAAGCCCCAGGGGGAGCCCGGAGCATTTCAAAGACACAAGACGTCCCAGAAGTTTAGCCCGCCAGGCGGCCTTGTGATAAATCAATAGGGGGCGGCGGATGATGGACAGGGCGAGGTACGAGCAATGTACGTTGAGTTGGGCGCTTGCGCCTCCTCAGGGGGAGTGCAGAGTCTGCAGAGGGGGGGGAGGCGCGGACTTTTCCGGTGAATGGCCAGCCACCCCCCCAGACTGTCCCAGACGGCCCCCGAGGCGCCCAAGACGGTCCAAAAGAGGTTCCAAGACTCCCAGAGCGCCCCACGACGCCCTCAGACGGCTCCAGACGGTCCAAGAGGCCCCCAAGACGCCCCAAGTGGCCTCCAAGAGGCTTTCCCCAGAGGGCCCAGGGAGGCACAAACCATTGGTTTTTCAATTGCTTTTGAAGGTTTTTTGGGTTCTCGACTTTTCGGGCCAGCTCCAAACATCGGCCCAAGACGGGCCCAGAGGCTCTCAGAAGGGCACGAAAACAGTCCAAGAGGGCCGCCAGACGGGCCCAAGACGGCCCAAGAGGCCCCAAAAGTCGTCCCAAGCCGGCTCCGAGAGGTCCCTCGAAGGGGACGAAAACGGTCCAAGAGAGCCCACAGACGGCCCAAGAGGGCCCCAAGACGGCTTCAGCTGGCCCCGAAACGATGCAAGATTTTGCAACGACGCCCGAAGGTGGCTGAGGCGGCCCAAGAGGCCCCAAAGAAGACTCCAAAGAGGGAAACATCGTCAAATTCGGATGGCAAGCGAACATATTCAGCATATCCGCCTTTTCTGTTGTTGCGCGGTTCAAGACAGGCCAAGAGGCCCCCAACATCGAACCAAGACGACCCAAGCGGCCCCCATGACGGCCCCAAGACGGCCCAAGGGAACCCCCAAACGGCCCAAGAGGGCCCCAAAAAGGCCCCAGGAGAGAGCCAAGAGGCCCTCATAAGGCTCCCGAGAGGGCCCCGAGAGGCCGCCAAGAGAGCCCCAAGTCGGTCGAAGGCCTCCGAGACGCCCTTAGACGGCCTAAACGGGCCCCAAGAGGGCTCCAAAGGGCCCCCAAACTGTCCAAAAGGGCCCCAGAAAGGCCCCCAAAAGACTCGCAAGAAGGTCCAGATATGCAAAATAACAGAACGATCGGTAACGGTATCGCAACAAGCTCTTCACACCAAGGCTCCAAACAGCGAACGGTGACGTGACAAATTCGTACCACCAAGGCTCCCAAGAGCGAACGGTGACGTAAACAACTCTCAACACGGCTCCCAAGAGCGAGCGGCAACGTAAAAGTCTCTGAACACCAAGGCTCCCAAGAGCCAGCGGTGACGTAACTAGCTCTTACCACCAAGGCTCCCAAGAGCGAAGGGTGCCGTAAGCCATTTCGGGCAAGTTCCTCGTTCCGTTTCCGTGCAGGCCCAAGTCTAACGCCTTTCGGCCCGTCCCGCCACCGTGCTTGGGTGTGGGTCAGAGTTTTCAGGGATCTTCTTGGGGTCTCTCAGGGGCTTCGGAACGCCTAGGCAACAAGGGTCCGGGCCTGACGAATGTTGCAAGTTTTTTACCTTGCATGGCTGCATGAGCCTTGGGGCACTCCACTTCGTGCCAGAAGCACGGCGGAGGATGACGCGAAGCGCCTCTGGCGTGCCATACATATATACATATATATATACACACATATATATATACACATACATACACACATATACATATAATAAGCTAAGGCACGGGGGACCACGGGCTCGCCGCTGCAAAAGGGCGACTGCTCGGCGGAGTCTCCTCAAGCTATGCGTTTCGCCTGAGACATCCTCGAACCATTGGATGTTGAAGGAGTGTGTCTGAGACGTGGTAGGCTCTCGCGCGAGACATCCTCGGAGAAACAAGTGATGCTGATGTCGCTCTCGGAATCGCTTGAATATTATGAAATGGCCGTTTCGCTCGATACTTGTTCGAAAACATGAGTTGTCGAAAGAGCTGCTGTTAAGACGTGTTATGTTTGAAATAGGGCTCTCGCTCGAGACATGCTCGAACAACACGAGATGCTGAGATCGCCCGAGATATCCTGAAGAAAGTGACTTCCGAGGGGACCCTGAGATCATCAAAACTGCCGTTGCGCGTTTGAGACACATTCTGCACACGACTTGTTCTCAACTGTGCTTGGCTCTGGGTCCTCACGACGGCCCAAAAGGTTTCAAACGCGGCTAAAGATGCGCCCAAGGCGATCCAATAGGGACTCCAGGTTGCCACACGACGGGCAACACAGCCCAAGGCGGCCCAAGCTGATTGGTTGCACCTAAACGGTGCGAGATCGAACACGGACAATTGCACGCAAACAATACAGAATTCAATGCTCTATGTAAACGGTTCATTCTCGATATTTGTACCGTACCGTTTACATGCAATGTTTCGTTTTGAACAATTGCGCAGTTTACATGAATGGCCCGTTGTTGTGCAATTGGCCCTCGGATGTGCAGCATGGCCTTGAACGGCCCAAGATGACCAGCTGCACGTAACACGGTGTGAGATCGAACACGATGAATTGCACGTCAGTTGTACAATTTTGAGGTTGCACGTACACGGTGCGCTATCGATGATCGTGTTGTACCGTTCACGTGTAACGCCTCGTTCTGCACAATTGCACAGTTTACGTGCAATGGACCGTTGCTGCGCAAACTCACGCCGTACTGTACGGCGTACGGCGTGAGTTTGCGCAACACGTTTCCCCCCAATCACGCCCCGCACGCACGCCGTGCACCCCCCCGCCCGTCCCACCCAAAACACGCCCCGCACGCGCGCCATACCCCCCCCCGTCCCGCCCGTCCAGCATATGTCCTGCACACGTGCGCACGCACGCAGACGGCCGCACACACAGCCGCACGCACAGGCACACACAAGTACACAGACACACACGCACACACACAAACAGACACGCACGCATCATACGCATGTATACACACGCATATATGCACATACGCACACACACACACACACACGCATACGCGCATGCATGCACATACGCACACACACACACACACACGCACACACGCACACACACACACTCACGTACAAAGGCCACGCACTACAGTTGACCACAGCAGCCTCAGGCAACCACAAAGCCCGAGCTAGAAGCGGCAACCATCTCAGCATCGAGGGACTCCCAGCGACTGCACCCCGTGTGCACACATTCTTGCTGGGTGCAAGTCCGTGCGCGCGTGCGCACGCACGCTCGGAGAAGCGGCGCTTCCCGTTCTTGTCCAGATAGGTTCCGGAATAATGGCCGTTTCGCTCGAGACATCCTCGGCACAAACGGCTTTGAAGGGGGCTCCAGAACAGCATCGTCTTGGAATCGCCCTTCGAGGTGCCCAGTGTGGCCCAAAGGAGCCCCAAGAGGCCCCCCTGGGGGACCCACAGAGGCCCCCAAGAGAGCTCCAGAAGGCCCCAGACGGCCCAAGGCAGCCCAAGATGGCGCCAAGACGGCCTAAGAGAGCCCCACCGAGAACCCTAAGACACGCCCAGGCAGCCCAAGGAGACCCCAGTAACCCCCAAGAGGAGCCCGACGGGCCCCCAAGATAGCCCCAGATGGCCCCGACAGGCCTCAGGGTAGTCTCGAAGGTCACGAGAACCTCCCCTTTTCTCGACGTCCTTTTCCTCGGACTCCGTATCGTCCGTCGTCGTCGTCGTCGTCATCCTTCTCCTCCTCCTCCTCCTCCTCCTCCTCCGCTTCGTTCCTCGTCCTCTTACTCGTCCTCGTCCTCATGCTTGTACTCCTACCCGCTATCCTCTTGCTCCCATCGCTGTCCTCCCCGTCATCCACGGTGTCATTCTCGTCATCCGCTGCCTTGTGGTCGCCATCACCCTTACGAGCCCAATGGACAAAATCGGCGCTTCCCGTTCTTCTCCGATCAGGTTTTCTTATGGACGGGAGAAAGGTCAGTAGAAGAAGGAGAAACGGAGGTGGACGAGACGGTCGAGGAGGAGGAGGTGGACGGAGACGAAACGCAGGTGGGGGAGGAGGAGGAAGACGGGGGGCCCACCAGAAGGTTAGAAGCCGAACTTGTCCGCCCGCAGCGGGAAGAGGGCAGGGAAGGGAGGACAGGCCATGAGAAATTGTTCGGCGGATTCCAAGCATTTTCGGTCGGTTTGTTGGCGGAGTTCAGAGGTGAATTGTTCGGATGGTTTCGAGGGTTCCTGAAGGTGCTCGGAGGGTTCTGGCGGTGTTCCGAGGCCTGCAGGGTTGGACCAAGTCAGCCGCGTGGCGCGAACAGGGCCGCGCCTCTCACGCTTCGCATCCTGGTCCCGAGGCTTGCCCTTCTCCCGGGTGGGCGGCGCGAGGGCGAGAAGACCGGCCGCGCCGCCATGGCAGGTCCGCGAAGGTTTCCTGGACGAGCGTTGGGCCCCCCTAGCGGCGCCTCCGTCGCCGCCCTTGGAGCGTTCCGCGCGCCAGGGAGGGGAATCCAGCGCCGATCCGAGAAATCCTCGCGGACCGCCGAGAATGGCCCATAACCGCCGGAGACCGCCAAGGACCTCCGAGGACCGCCAAAGGCCAAAGGGCGACAAGGTGTCCATGGTCGAGCACTGACCCACGCTGGGGGTCGTGCCCCCGAGATCCCCGCGCAGCGTTGGATGCGGATGGTTGCCGACGTCGGGGGCGGGACGGTATCCGCAACCAGCGCTTGCCGAGGCCTTTTGGGACACGCCCCAAGATCGGCGGCACGTGGATGGAACCGGCGTAAGGAGGAGGAGGAGGAGGAGGAGGAAGAGGAGGAGGCGGAGGAGGAGGAGGAGGAGGCGGATCAGGAGGAGGAGGAGTGGGGGGGAGAGGGGAGCAGGAGGTGGAGGAGGAGGTGGAGGAGGAGGAGGAAGGTTTTTTCGTTGGTGCTCGCTGCGGAGCGGCTCATGCACCGCTCAGCTAGGATGTTCGACGGGTCAGCATCCTGCTCCGCGGCCGGGCATTATGTTGCCTTCGTTGTGCGGCCCTAATCACAGAAGTTATCATCCGCCTCGTCGCGGTCGTCGTCGTCGTCGTTGTTGTCGTTGTCGTCGTCTTCGTCGCCTTCCTCTTTCTCCTTCTCTTCGGCCAGCTCGGGCATCGTGGAGTTCCCTTCCCGTGAGTTGAGAAGCTGGCAGTTCTCACCATCCCCGGGCCTCTTCAGGATTGTGCCATGCGTCCTTCTTCAGGGGCAACGTTAGGGGGGAATATGCTCAGCGGGGGAATGCATCCATTCCCACTCTCCCATTCATCCGCGATAGTGGTTCGCACGAGGTGTTCTCAGAACATGTCTGGCAGAGGCAATCGTGTTCGAAGCATCCGGTTGCATGTTCTATGAACGTTGTTTTTTGCTTGTGTGCTTTTGTGGTTCGAACATTCTTTACGCTTCGCGTATCCCCACCAGCCCATCTGACAGCAGCAACTCTTGCGAAGCATACCGACAGTCGTGTTATTCAGGCGTGTGTCCGCTTGGCCCCGCATATGTCCCCTGTTCCTCCTTCCTCCCGCCTCCTTGTACATCCTCCTTGTGGGGGGAGCGGGAGAAGGACGAGGCGGAGGAGGAGGGAGAGAAAGCGCTCCTCGTGATTTGAGTCGTTTGGGGTTTCTCGTCCTGGTGTGAGTCGTTCGGGCCCTTCTTCCTGGTGTGAGTCGTTCGGGCTCTTCGTGGTGTGAGTCGTTCGGGCTCTTCGTCCTGGTGTGAGTCGTTCGGGCTTCTCGTGGTGTGAGTTGTTCGGGCCCCTCATCCTGGTGTGAGTCGTTCGGGCCCCTCCTCCTGGTGTGACTCGTTCGGGCTCCTCGTGGTGTGAGTCGTTCGGGGCCCGCGTCGTGGTGTGAGTCGTTCGGGCTCCTCGTGGTGTGAGTCGTTCGGGCGCCTCGTCCTGGTGTGAGTCGTTCGGGCCCTCCTTGTGGTGTGAGTCGTTCGGGCTCTTCGTGGTGTGAGTCGTTCGGGCCCCTCGTCCTGGTGTGAGTCGTTCGGGCTCCTCGTGGGGCCTCTTGGGGGCCTCTTGGAGCCTCTTGGGGCCTCTTGGGGGCCTCTTGGGGGCCTCTTGGGGGCCTCTTGGGGGCCTCTGGGGGGGGGCCTCTTCTTGGGGGCCTCTTGGGGGCCTCTTGGGGCCTCTTGGGGGCCTCTTGGGGGCCTCTGGGAGGCCTCTTGGGAGCCTCCTGGGGGCCTCTTGGGGCCATCTTGGGGCCTCTTGCGACCTCCTCAGAAGCGCAAAGGAGCGCTGGCCCCTGAGAAGGACAAAATGAGGCCAAAACCTTCGTAAAATCAATGATTTTGCTATGAAGGAAGATGAGCGCGGCCGCCTCAGGAGGCCAAAATGGGGCCAAAACCGTAGTAAAATCAATGATTTTGGCTTCAAAGAAGAGCAGAGGGGCCAAACTCGGCCCCCCCGTCGGGGCCAGAATCCTCGTGAGGGTCGTCGTTTTTTAGCCCTCCCAGGAGTCGAAAAAGACCCCCCTGGCGACGCCCCGGGGTCCCTCTCCAGGCCCAGGGGGAGGGGGTAGGGGGAGGGGTAAACCCCTCCCCGAAGGGGAAGAAGGGGGGTTGAGGACAGAGCGGGCTCTCTAAACCACTCACGCCCAAAAGGCTGGTGGGATTCTTGTCGCTGTGAGAGCATCTCGTGGCAGGCCTGCAGGACTGCCTGGACGGTGGGCCCCTGCTCTCTCTTGACGCCTGCTCCTTCCGTGCTGCCGCCCCGCAGTGCCGCGCCGCGGCCAGCGGCGCCCGCGCCGCGTCCGCGCTGGGCCGCTGGGCGCGCGCGTGGGCCGCCGCCACGCGGGGCCGCGAGGCGCGCCGCGCGCAGGCGCACCGCCCGTTCCTCTCCCCTTTTCTCCCCCTCCTCTCTCCCCCCCTCTCCCCTCCCCTCCTCCTCCTCCCCCTCCTCTCCCCTCCTCCCCCCCTCCTCCCCCTCCTCCCTCCTGCTCCCCCCTCCTCCCCCCCTTCCTTCTCCCCCTCCTCCCCCTCCTCCCCCCTCCTCCCCCCCTCCGGGGTATTCCCCGCCGAGTCGTCAGGCGTCCCTGCCCGCGCTCGGCGTTTCGGCTCCTTCCCCCCCCCTCCTCTCCCCCCTCCGGGGTATATTCCCGCCGAATCGTCGGGCGTCCCTGCCCGCGCTCGGCGTTTCGGCCCCTTCCCCCCTGCTTGTGGTCGGGGCGGCGGGGCCGGGCAGGTGGTGCACGGCAGTCGAGGTACGAGGAGCGAGCTGGTGGGATCGAAAGGGGTGCAGAGAGAACGGATACGAAGACCGACTGCGAGTCCCGCCCAGTTTGAACGGGACTCGTTGTCGCCGTCCCGCGGAAGGTGTCCCATCTGAGGCAGAGGGCCGCCTTTGCCCAGCCGCGGCCGCGGTCGGCTTTGGACAACCTTTGCTGTTGGGTACCGTGCCCATGTTTTCTGTGCCCATTCCTCTCAGGGGGATGGGCTCAGGGGGGGATGCATCTGCCCCCAATCGCTCATTCGCCGCCGATACGCGTTAAAGGGGTCCGACAGGCCGCCCCGCCCAGGAACTCGGAGGCCTATCGTCGATCTATCGGCGATGTATCGCTGATTCGGGCTCGAAGTCCCCCCCCTGAGCCAGTTTACCCTGACGTTCCCCGCCACCGGGGTCGAATACAGAAGCTTCTGTGGGCGCATGTGGTCGAGGAGGAGCACGCCGTAGATTTCAGGAGACGATTTGAGAGAGCCGTGGTCGGTCTTTGGGGCGCCTCCTGGTCGCCACGGCGGGACGCAGCTCGGAGAGCTTGTGTGCGTCTGGTCCCCGTGATTTCGGTCGGGGGACCGACTTGGAGCTGCCGCTGCCTCGACTCGCCCTGCTCCGACGCTGGGCGCTCCCGGTCGGTGAGGCGGCAGCAGCATTTGGGCGCCGCGTAATGGGGGGGTCATAAATCGGGGGGTGGCGAGGGTGGTCCGAAAAGGTACCCAAACGGTACCTAAACGAGCCCCCTGGGGCTCTGGAGGGGCCTGAAAGGGGCACGAAAGGGGACCTTTTCTGACCCCCCCATTTGTGACCCCCCCATAAAGCCACGCCCAAGGCATGCAAGGGAGCTCTCGGAGGGCCGCAGGGATCGCCTGCAGCGGCGCCAGGCCCCCCCCTCCCCCTGGCGGCGCCACGGGAGAGGGCGCGCTGGCGGAGCGGTGCACATTTGGGCCAGATGCTCGTTGCGGGGACCTTCCTGGGGCCATCCTGGCGGACCTGTTCGACTCTAGTTCGTTTGCTTGTTTCGACTCAAGTTCAGCTCAAGTCGACGAACGATCGACGCAGCATGGACGGGTGAGTGGAGCGAGTGGCGTGGGGAAATCTTCGTGTCGAGCACTTTCGCCTTCTCGGCCTCGTTCCCAGCTCCCTTCGGCTCCTCTGGCCGCTCACCTGAGGGTTCCAAAGGGGGTTTTCGGGGAGGGGGTTTTCCAGGAGGGGTCCCCCAGGGGCTTCGCACCCGCTGTTTTGACGAGGTTCCGAGGCCCCTGGGGGGCTCTCTGGGAAGGCACCTCCCCAAAAACCCCCTGTGGAACCCTCCGGCCGTTCAGGCCATTCCTCGCCCCCGGGGACGGCGGCCTTCTCCGCTGCCTGTCAGGGGAAGAGGATTCCGACACCGGCCGTGTCGAGCGGCCGCGCCACGGGAAGTCGGGCACGTCGCTCTACAGACGGAATATTCAAACATACTCGAAAAATTGTCTTGGGACGATTTTTCGATTATTGTTGGAATATGTTTGAGCATTTTTTTTCCTATTTCACAGTTGTCCTCCAAAATCCGCCCGTAGGAGAGGACATGCCCGACCTAATGGTAGGTTGCCCTGCCATTCGCTTGTCCTCTGCCAGCTGCCATCTTTAGCAAGCGGGGCGTGCTTGTGAATGTCCCGTCCGCGAGGGACGTTGTCGAGCCCGCGGATGGGAACACCCCTCCTCCATCGGAGCGCACCCAGAACCTGTTTGGGGGGCCTCCTCTCTCCACATGGCCTCGGGTGGCCTCGGTTAGCTTGGGATCGCCGCGGATAGCCTCGGTTGTTCTCGGGTAGTCTGGGATCGCCTCGGATGGCCAGGAAGGCCAGAGAAGGCCCCCACACACAGTGAATGTAATTGAATGGTCCCCCACGTAAGAGTTTCAGGGGCTTGCCCTTGTGGTCGTAACGAGGGGAACTCCAGTTTGTTTGGTCTGGCACATAGCCGCGCCATGTGGCCTCCAACCCACCCACCCACCCAGCCAGTAGATAACGTGACGCCCGCCGCCCCACCGACCCCCGTTGCAGAAGGGTCTATTTTGCAGATGCTGTTCGTTGTGTGCGGGCATCGCTTTTGCAGTGGGCGCGGGCATGCGCTTGTGGTACGTAGAGGCGCGCGGCGCGCGCAGGCTGTTGTGGGGCCCACGCAGGCCCGGCGGCGCTCTCGGCATTGAAAACCGCAGGCTGCTTGATGTGCTTAGCGCGCGCGCCGGCTGCGGCGGCAATTGTGGTGCACACAGGCGTGGTTCTGTCCAGCACTGTGGAATACACGGACGCTGTTGTGCACGCGAGCAATGGGGGGACAGTTCCAAGAACCAGGAACAAACAATTATCACACACTGCCTGCACATTGAATGTGATACGCTCAGGCGAGACCGGCACACATGTGGCCGCATGCCTTTCCAGCGCTTGGTCCTCGTACCCCGCGCGGCTGGAAACGCTGGCCCTCCGCATGTGTATCCAGCGGGTGGCCTTCAAGAGTCCTGGCGTCCTCCTCCTCCGCCTCCTCCTTTTCTTTTTCACAAAACCTCTGGATGACCGTAAAGCTTTTTGTTCGGTCCACCGGAGGGCCACACTTTGTTGGAGAGATTCCTTTGCCTTATTCTCCTCTTCTTCCCCTCCGCCCCAAGGTTGCCAGGGCAGGCGCCGGTAAGCAGCCGTGCTTTCGACCTGCTCTGTCTCCCTTGCGTCGTCGGCTTGCGAGTCGTCGGAACCTCTGCCCAGTGGTCGCGTAACTGAGCCCGAATACACCACACGAGTAACTGTGACCCACACGATTAATTCAGCACGTCTTCGTCCATTCCGCTATATTGCAGTACGCGCCATGGGGCTCGTCAGCTAAATGGATCATGGACCGCGAAGGGAGTCATTCAGTCAAACAAAGCGACCACCTACGATTCCACGTCCTCTGGCGAGGGTCGGCGAAGGCCCCCGAAGACTTCCAGGGCCTCTGAGGGCGACGCCGGCGACAAAAAGGACGAGGAGAAAAACGACGACGACGACAAGCACGACGAGTGCGAGGAGGTGGGAGGAGGAAGCGGAGCAGAAGGAAAAACAGAAGGCGGCGGATGAATACGAAAAGTGGCCTCAAGCGTTCCCCATCTGCTCTGCTCACGCAGATCTGCAAGCCCCCCGTCCCCGTGGTGTCCACTGCTCTGCGGCAGCTCCGCCGGCCCCAGACAGGGTTTTGAACGCAGGCGTGGAGGTCCGAATCGGCTTCGTGGTGTACACGGGCGTTTTGGCCAGCAGCGCGGGAGCCCCACCCCAGGCCCAAATAACAAAATCACAAAGAGCTTACATGTTCAATGTTATACGTTCGCGCCCCACCCCCCCACCCCGAAAGTTTTGATGGTTGGGCCCCACCGAGGTGTACGCGGGCTCTGCGGGATACGTATACAAAGTGGTGCGCGCCTGCGTTAGTCGCCGCGGTGCGCGCGACTGCTGTGGTGTGCGCACGCATCATACCGCGCACCGTGGTGTGGCGCGTTCACAGTTGTATTCGCAGACGCTGTGGTTTACATGAGCACTACCATGCACTCCATACACTGTGGTGTACACAGGCGATGTGGTGCGCGCGTAGGCTACTGCATCAGCAATTTTAGTAACAGCCATTGGACGGCCAGGCGCGGCTGGTTCATGTTATGTGCTAGCGAACCCACCCACCCACCCAGCCACATAACGCGCGCTATGCGGTGTCGTAGGAACTTGATACCTAGCACCCTATTCAAACATTCGATTGTGACATACCATGTGCGAGTCATGCGCTCACCATTCATCACCAACCTTCTGAGACGTATTGTCATGAGTTATTACTTTTCATCTGTCAGATGACAGCAGCGATCCGCCCCCTACCAGTGTCCACTATTGTAACAGGGGTCGGTGACGGAAGCGCGGCCAGGAGAAGCCGCAATTTGTCGTGGGCTCATTCGACGTGACATCAGTCGACAGACGATTGCGAAATGTACGCTGGTGTTGCATGTCCCGCTACGGTACGGCGAGCGTATCCATTGTGCGTGCCAGGAAACATCATACCCTTGATCCCATAAAAGGTGCTTTGCTTTCGCGGTGTGAGGAGTGTGATGAACGGAGTTGGGCGAGACGACCGTACAACGATACGATTGGTCGCATTCTCATTCCGACGCAACGTCCGCATGTTGCAGCCAGCGTAAAAGATTGCAAGCGGTGCGACACAACTTTCGCACACCACACCGCACGGGCTTCCAGGCATTCGGCGACAAGCCTTCGTTGTGCTGAGGGCAGTTTGGAGGCCAACGGTGGTGCGAGTCATGGTGAACTCTCCGTTCCGCGCTCATCAACTCAGCCGATTTCAATTGGGACACATCGTTCTTTCCGCCACTGAGCACAAGTTGCTATGTATGTTGGGGCTGCTCCACGCCAGAGGAAGGACAGCGGAAACGGGGATTCAAATATTGGTTGCCCTCGGCTCGTGTGTCCAGGAGCTTGTCCACGAGCCTCCATTCTGGCACTGGACCGACGATCGCACTCTCACGGCGTAGCAGGTGGATGCGGACGGGCAGCATCTCATTTGCAATGCAGTCATGCTGATGCTTCAATACCATGTTTCACACATCTCGTGGTGACGGCCATTGCTGGCCTCCTTTCTAGATGCTTGCAGCGAGTCCAGACACCGTGCCGTCTTTCCACAGGCGACTATTCGAGGAGCGTGTAGGAGGCCTGCGTATGTGACACCTCGTGTCCGAAGGTTTGGGGGAGCCGTTGCATGTGAGACGGTTCCCTGCGTCGTGTGCGGGTGTTTCTCTTCGTGTTCGTCGTCTTCTTACCCTCCTCTTCTTCCTTCCTCCTGGGACATCTCGGGAGCGTCTTGGGAGCTTTCCGGGGCCTGTTCGGAGCTCCCTGGGCCGTCTTAGCACGATATTGTGCAGTTTGGCGCCTTCGGAGTCCGTCTTGGGGGCCTCTGTGTCTTGGGGCGTCGTCTTGGGGGTCCTTAGGGCCGTCTCGTGGCCTCATTGGACTGTCTTGGAGTCCTCGAAGTTGGATACCATCCGCCAGCGCTCAAGTGGCAACGGCTAGTTGCACCAAGGCGATGCTGTTGGAAGCTGTAGATTGCTCTCCGTATCCCACTTGATCATTAGGTAGATCTCGTACAGTCTTATCACATTACGTTACTTGCCTCAGGCGTTTGGTCCACCTAGCACCCAGCGCTAGCTGCTGGAACAGACCAAACCAATGACAGGTCTAACACTGCCCTTTTGCAAACTTTCCGATGCACGTGAATTACGTGTGCTGGTTATCCCGACGATGGTACAGTGCCATTGTTAGAGCATTGATACCGATTGGACCGACACTGAAAACTGATGTGGGGTCTCTTTCAAGGACATTCGGCTCGACGTAAACCACGCATGTTGCGATGTCAACGTTACCCAGACGTCGTTCTGTATCAAAGGTCGGCGGCAGTGGAGTCAAAGGACCGCGCCGTGGCAACTCTCAGCATACAGATGCGGAGGAGGTGGATGGGAAAGGCGTTGCGCCTTCCGGAGTCACGTTGTGATGTTTCGTCTGTTTTTTTTTCTGGGGGGGGGAGGTTTTATGAAAAGCAGAGTGTAGAAACTAGGCAAGCCCCAACGCCATACTCCCTTCTCTCCTGCACCATCTTGCCTTGCCCTGCCTCTTCACTCCCGGCTTCTCCTGCGTTCTTTTGGTTCCTCTTGTCTGGCCAGGGTTCATACTGAGTGGTGACCCCCCCACCGTCGCCCTCCGCACATCACCGCCCATGCCCCCCGTTTCCCTCGAGGTGCGAGCAGTGGCCGGCCGCTGGTTCATGTGGCGCGAGGTCAAGAGGACTGGACCCCCCTTGCCTTGGCGCACGAGCGGACCCTAACATCCGCGCGCCGTGAGAAGATGACCGACGGGCGTGTCTGGCCCGTTCCTGGCCCCCGGGTTCCCATGGAACAGTCCAGATCGGGAATTCCCGCGTGCAGATCGGTTCGGGAGTTCTGGTCGTGCTCGCTTCACGACGCCCTGTACACAGTTGCTTACTTAGCAGGGTGGTCATTGATTATCGTGGTCGATGTTCAAGCAAGCCCAGAGCAAAGGGGCGGGCATGTGGAGTGGAACATTCCTAACCCTCCTGTGTTGGGTTTTCGTTTTGAAAGGAGAGCACTGCCCGCGCGTCTCTCTTCTCATCCTCACCTCTCATCCTGCCTCCTGCATCCTGCGCGCTTTCTCGGGGGCTGCGAACTGCGCTGCTGTCGCCGCTTTCGTGGGCTCCTGGGAAATCCAGCGGAGTTGGGGGCCACGCTCATCTATTTGAGATCTCGTTCCTCCCTGGATGGCTGCGAACTGCGCATCCGTCGCCTGTTCCGTGGGTTTCTAGGAGGTCCAGCGGCGTTGGGGGGCAAGCGCATCCATGCGAGACCTTGTTGCTCCGTGGGTGGCTGCGAACTGCGCAGCTGTCGCCACTTTCGTGGGTTCCTGGGAAGTCCAGCGGAGTTGGGGTCATGCGCATCCATTTGAGACCTCGCTGTTCCCCGGATGGCTGCGAACTGTGCAATTGTCGTCACTTCCGTGGGCTTCTGGGAGTTCCAGCGGAGTTGGGGTGTGGCCACGCGCGTCCATTCGGGACCTCGCTCCAGCGGAGTCGGGGGCCACGCGCATCCATTTGAGACCTCGCTCCTCCCTAGGTGGATGCGAACTCCGCAGCTGTCGTCACTTTCGTGGGCTCCTTGGAGGTCCAGCGGAGTCGGGGGCCAAGCGCACCCATTTGAGACCTCGCTCCTCCAGGGATGGCTGCGAACTGCGCAGCTGACGCCACTTTCATGGGTTCCTGGAAGGTCCAGCGGAGTTGGGTGCCATGCACATCCATTTGAGACCTCGCTGCGCATTGGGAGTCTGCGAAGTGCGCATCTGTCGCCACTTACGCGGGCTTCTGGGAGATCTACAGAGTCGGAGGCTACGCGCATCAACTCGAGACCTCGCTCCAGCGGAGTCGGGGGCCACGCGCATCCATTTCCGACCTCGCTGCTCCTCTGGGTGGATGCGAACTGCTCAGCTGTCGCCACTTCCGCGGGCTTCTGGGAGGTCTGTTGGAGTCGGGGGCCACGCGCATCCATTTGAGGCCTCGCTGCTCCCTGGGTGGCTGCGAACTGCGCAGCTTTCGTCACTCTCGCGGGCTCCTAAGATGTCCAGCGTCGCGGGCTCCTAAGATGTCCAGCGGAGTCGGGGGCCAGCTCCCATTTGAGACCTCGTTGCTCCCTGGGTGGCTGCGAACTTCACAAGAATCGCCACTTGTTTGGTTTCTGGGATGTCCAGCGGAGCTGGGTGCCACGCGCACATATTTGAGACCTCGCTGCTACCTTGGTCGCTGTGAACTGTGCAATTGTTGCCACGTTTGCGGGCTCGTGGGAGGTCCAGCGGAGTCGGGGGCCACGCAGATCCAGCTGGGACCTCGCGGCTCCAACGCAAAAGTGCTCACGTCGACGGCTTGACCAGGGCGGACCACTCACGAGGACAACATTGTCGACGCCGGGCGTAAAGACGCCGACGAGTTAGACGTGCTGTTGCTGCAACGTCGTCCGACAACCTCATCATCCGCGCCCCAGGCTTGGAGTTCCTGTCCCAGGGGCCGCTGGCGGACCTGGCCGCGCGCCTCCAAACACCCATTGCCCGCACGGAGAATTGCAGGAAACAGTCCTTGAAATTGGCGCGCGCGCTCGGCGTGGCCACGTTCTCGCGCGACTGGACGGAGGAGAGCTGCAAGCGGGTTCTGGGCGAGGGTGGCGTTGGCCGCAACTGTCTCGGCGCCGCCGGCGACATCTGCAACGGGTGACGACCCGTCGGGTATAAAAGGGCGCGCGCCCGCATGGTGGACGCGCCGTCCCTTCATTCAGCGCACGGCGCTGTTACATCACAGAGGGCAGGGCAGTGGAACGTCGTGCAGCGCATGGCGGTGTCCTCAGTGGCCGACGCCCCCCCTTTCCAGGCCAATGTCGCCCGCAGCGGCAACGCAGGCGAACCGAGCAGATGTAGCGCACGGCGACGCTTCTCTCATCTACAATTCGTCACCCTCCTCCTTTATCGTCCATGTCCTCCTCGCCCCTCTCCTCCTCTTCTCACCGCCCACGCCCCAACCCAACCCGAAGGCACCAATTGCCCTCCATTCCCAGTGGGGTGAGGGCATCGGGAAGCCTTGAAGACAACACAAGAAAAAAACACATGGAAGCGACAGGCAGTCATCTTCCGCCTCCTCGCCCTCTTTCTGTCACCCGTCCATCGTTCTCTTTCGTGAATGACGCCCCACATACTTGCGCAGTCACCGTTGTGCGCGCTCATTTTCGCGACCTGAATTGCGCAGGTGCGAGATGCGCATGTCTGACATTGTACCGCGAAGCACTTTAGAGCGCAGCGTATGTCGCAACATAACTTGTTGTCGTGGGGCGTGCTTATACAAATAATTGCCTCGCGTGCAGAAAAGGTTTGTGTACGTTTCGGGCAATGTGCTTGCTGATTTGCCCTGGATGGATAGCCTCCAAATGACGCTCCGAATGAGTGCGCATGCGTGGTGGCTTCACGGGGCGCTTCGCAACGAAAGCGAAAGGCGGAGAAGGATCATGAGGGTGATTGGGGGGTGGGGTAAGGGGAGGGGAGTGTGGAAGGTGGACGGTTGAATACTTTTGAGAAAAGTCCTCCGGACCGTTCCCACCCCTTCCCAGGATAATTGTTCGAATCTTGGTCGGCTCTTTCAATGTTTCGGGGCTCGACACCGAATGCTCGACATGGGGAACACATGGGCCGTCCAGATTTTTGAGCCGCCAGATACGGTTGTTTGTGCGTGTGTGTATGTTTGAAGCAACTCCCGTATCCAAGGGGCCAGCGTTTATTAATTAGGCGGCGTGCAAGCTGGTACAACCTAAGTCGAAGATAGGCCAGCAAATCCAAAGAGCTATTTTAGATCAGTTTGTCATGCATCGAACTTGCTCACATAGTCAAGCCAAGGCCAATGCAAAGAACGCCCCAGATCCATGGGATTGGAGACAACAGGAAGGATGGGGGGGACGAGTCTAAGAGAGGAGGGGGGGATGGGCGGTTAGGCTGGACGGCGGGCCGGGGGGGGATGCCAATTGGAAGGGGTGGAAGCGTGCGTCAATGTATGTCGCGGGGTGCGTCCTCCAGCGCAGGGCAGTTCATGGCAGAAAGACAGTTGTTTGTTGTGCGCGACGGAAGAGAAACGAGAAATCGTCTTGGCTCAGACTGCAGCGGCACTGCCGACACAGTTTTGATTTAGTGTTGATTTGGGTGGCCTTGCCGATCAGATTTCTGCGGCATTGCCGATTCACCTTCCGACTCGGGCTTTGTTTGAATATTTATTGTGGATTGTGTTGAAATCCGGTACTGACTCCGCTCCCCACTGGAAGTTGCCACGACCCACCGGGCAGCCCCTGCTCAGCCAGTGGTGTGTGGGGGCGGCGGAGTGGCCGCCGGCAACGCCAGCCACATGAGTTGGCTTGTTCAAGCACATATTGGGCGAATGGGGCAGGCAAGTCCGCGTGGCTGTGTATGGTTGGGTGTGCCGCAGTGTGCGCGCGTGCCACATCGCGTCGTTTCCTTAAACGCCAATGGAGGGACGGCGCAAATGCCCAGGTGATGGTAAGACCTTCCGCCGCCACGCAGTGTCCAGACCGTTTTCTGGCATATTGAGTGCGACATCTGGTGTCAGGGGTGGCTGAGCCTGTCAGGGGGTTCCACGTTGCTGTTTGTTTGAGGTCGGGTCCACGTTGCCATTTGGTGGGTTTATGGGGGGGGGTCAGGGTTTGTCCTCCACGGTGGTGCACGTGGGGGACATTGCCCCGACACTACGAGGAGGGGGGGGAAGCAGGAAGGGATAGGGACGTCAACATTGTGGGCACGATGCGCGTCACGGCTGAATGTTTGAGCGTTAGGCTCTCTTTAATTGTCTGTATGCGCGTGTGTGGAAATATGTAATTATGTGTGTATGCGACCGCGTGTGCGTGTACACGTGCGTGTGCGTGTGCGTGTGCGTGCGCGTGTGCGTGTGCGTGCGTGTGCGTGTGCGTGTGCGTGTGCGTGCGCGTGCGCGCGCGCGTGTGTGTGTGTGTGTGTGTGTGTGTGCGTGTTTGTATGCGTATGTGTGCATGACAGGCTGCTGGCGCCCCCCTCAGAATCGACCGCCGGACCCTCTTGTGGGGTGCGCCGTTACCCGAATTTTGAGACAGATCGGGCCGCTGCGGCGAGCTCCCCCTGGGAGATCCAGAGGGGGCGGGAGGCACCCACAGACCTCGGCCTCGACGCTCGAGCTTCGAACGTGGAACTTCGCCGCCGATCTAGCACCTCGAACTTCGAATTTTGAGTATCGGGCTTCGGACAGCGCGGACAGCCCTGCCGGGATCCCGGCCGCGCTTTGGCGCCTGCGCAGCCCCGCAGGGGGCCAGGGGTTGGGAAGAGTTAGAGACTCAGTATCGTTTGACCGATCCCCATCCCCATCCCCATCCAGACCCCCACCATCTCATCCCCCCAGTTAGGGATACACCCTTCGAAATCTGAGAGAAACTGCCCAGATCCCCATCCAGGGGGGTAAACCGGCCAGTGGGGCCCAGGCCACGCGAGTGGGATTGGGATGGGTTAAACGATGCTCAGAGAGACGTCCAAGTTCGAGTGGATGGGAACGGGGTGGCAGAATGTGGCCCTAAAAGGCCCCTGCGCGGCCCTACACTGCCACCGCGGGCCCCAGATGTGCACAAAAGGGTTACGCTTGTTCGCCCCACTTTGAACACCTCCTGCTGCTGTTGCTCCTTCTCCCCCCCTCCCCCCCCCAGCCGCTGACTATGTAGACTAAGAGGCCGCAGAGGCGCCGCTGCTCCCACGAAGCGGAGTTATAAGGCGGGCATGCGGCGTATGGCGTGACTGGCTGACTTTGAACACCGGACCCGTGACCTCAGATCCTCGGGCCTCCAGAAGTTGCGGGTGAAGTCGGGGAAGAGCCTCGGGAAGCAGCGAAGGGCAAGGACGGCCCTGGCTTTGGAGGTGTATCCAGGGGTGTTCTCTTTGCGTATGAACTCCGCATTGGAGCATCATTCGGCGTCGTGCGATTCGGTAAGTGCAAGAGATTGCCTGCGCAGGGATCGGCGCATGACCTGGGAGCCCATCGCTGGCGTAGCGAGCTTCCCGCCCTTGGGCATGACGAGGGTGCTGGACTCAGCACCACGTTGGAGGGGCGGACACAAGGATCGCGCGCCAGCATGAGAGGAGTCAGGGCCGACCAAGCGCCTGGACTGCAGGGGCCCATGTTTCGGGTCGGACGTAAAGGGGGATACGGACACGACTTCTGCTGCATGCGGCTGCCTTCGGCCCTGCTGCTGGGCGCTTTCCTGTCGACTCGGCGCCGCCAGCCGCCGGGAAAATCGGCAACGTCAGCTGATTCGATATCCGCCCTTTCGCTGGCCTCCTCCTCCTTTTCCTCCTCCTCCTCCTCCTCCTCTTCTTGACCCGGTCTTCGCACAGAGGAACCCCTGTACATCGATTCCGTGGCACGCAGGTCGATGTTGGCAAAGCGAGCCAACCTTTCAGGTGATTTCATAGCGGAACAAACACCTCACTAGGGAACACAAAAGGCACAGCCGCAAATCAGAAAGTTTGAAACATCATGGGGATCCTAGGGCCTGTCCTGTGCCCACGACGGCGGTGTGCCAGCCTCCCCTCACGTCCGACCCGAGCTCTCGAGGCCCGCGCCCTTGGGGCAGCGCCCCGGCCTGCAGCCCCGATGTTCCAACCGGCCTTAGCCCTGGTCACCAGAAAGAGCTCCGAGCACCAAAGAAGCACCGAAACTCGAGGGTTTTCACGTGTCGGGCCCTGGGAGACACTCACCCGACACTGTTTCGACACTCCTTCGACACTTGTTCGGGGTGCTCGAAATTATCTCTGGGATGCGGCTTTTAAGTACGATGGGAGCGACGTAAGCCCCGCCAGGATCCTGGCCCTCAAGGCCGAGCGCGCCCGCCTCGAGCTCGGGCTCCGGCGCGGCGCCAGCGCCGCGCGGCGCTGGCGCGGGCTGCGCGGCGCCCGGGCGCTCTGCCGGCAGTCCACCGAGCGGAGCTTGGCGCGGTGGCCCCATGGGGCGGGCGCAAGGAGGGGGGACTCGGGCCGAACGAAAGGGGGGGGGATAGGGAAAGGGGAGGGGTGCGAAATCTGCTGCATGCAGCTGGTTTCGGCCCCGCCGCCGGGCCCATTCCTGGGCGCCTCCTGGCGCCGGGAGGCGCTGGGAAAATCAGCTACGTGAGCTGATTCTCTACTCTATTTGCTATCCCCCCTTTCTTTTGTTCCCCCCGAGACTCAGGTGTCCGCGTGACAATTCCGTGCGGGGATCAGTGCCAGGGGTGTGCACAGCGTCGGGGCGCGATGCAGGCTGGAGGAGGGGGGAGGGAGTGGAGGGGGAGGGAGGATCGAGGGCCGGGGTCGAGGGGAGGAAGCCTGGGCGCGCACTTCGCGCTCGCCGCGCGCGGGATGGGAGGGGGTCGAGGATCGGCGCGTCGGAGGGGAGGGGTCAGAGGAGAGCGAGTCGATGCAACGGTGGTTGGCCTTCGGGGGGCCTTTCTCTGCCACGGCTGGACGCAGCTCGGAAAGCTGGTGCGTTTGGAACGGTCAGGGACCGGCTTTTAGCTGCCGGTGTCTCAATTCACCCTGCTCGGAGAGACCTGCGGCGCGCCCGGGAACGGTCGGCTGAGCGTACGAGTGACCCTTCGCTGGAGTGACCGTGGGTGCGGGCTCGCAGGGGTCCCCCCCAGCGCTGGCTTGCGCGCTTAGACTTCGCCCACCGGCGGTTCCCTGGAGCCGCGCACCAGAGGTCACTCTGGCCCAGGGTCGCTCTGGAGGGTAACCTAGATGGTGGGATCCGCGGTTCGGTCGGGTTTGGCTGAATCGCAGTCCGTTGCGTTCGGTCGGTTCGTTTCGGTCGGCCGTGGTGTCGTGGCTGCGTCGCTGCGCCTGCTTAGACGGCGTGCGGCCTGTCGGTCTCGATCGGGCCTCGGGCTCGTCGTTTCCCGCTTGTGCTGTCGCCGTGGACGGCCTCTGGGGCGGGCCGCCCTCTAGGAGGGCGGGGGTCTTCGTGGAAGGCAGCCTTCTCAGGAGGGCCCACGGGGTGCTCGACAGGTGTGCTCAGATGGCTCGGAGGGCCTACCAACGCTCCCCTGCCTTCTCGGAGCCCGCCCGCGTTCCTGGAAGGCCGTCCCCCTCGCGCCACCCCGGAGCGCGTGCCAGCAGTTCGAGCGGACGACAATCGGAGAGGACACGACAGTCAACCCGCATAGGAAGGATGGGCAACCTTCCCAAGGCTACCCTAGCATCCTGGCCTCCTCGGTCCATCCTTGGCCACTTTCGTTGGCCGCGCCCCGCTCGAGAAGCTTCGAAATGGGCGTCCAAGCATGCTGGTCGCGCATCCTTCTAATACGGGCCGACTGTACCACCAGTGGGGCACCACTAGCGAAGAGGTCCCCGAGCTGGAGAGAAGAGATGTCTCGGGCGGGGCGCCGCAAAACACGGGGGGCCATACCCCCAGAAGGACCCGTCCGAGCTCGTCGCCACGGTGGTGTGGTGTGGTGGAGGGGGGGAGGGGCTCCGTGAAACAGGAACCAATTTCCGTCGTAAAGGACAACAGCAGGTGCTCACCCATGGAGAGCAGTTCGGCTTTCCTGCCCTGCTCATCGGGCGAAGGAGATGACCGAGACATGCCGTACACCTGCCGTGGAGAGCGAAGGGGGGTTCTAAAGGAACGCTAAATGAGCTGGTCCACTAAGTAAGCAAGCGAAAGGGAATTCATGTTCGGTAGGGCGAGGAAGCTTCGGAGGGCGAGCGAAGAAGAATAATGGACAGCGGGCTGAACTGCGAATGCCGATGCGAGCAGCTGGTTTGGGCGCCGCCGTTTGGACACCCTCCTCGGCGCACGCTCGCTCCTGGCGCCTCATGGCGTCGGGGCAGCCAGCTGCAGGCAGCGGCTTCGCAGCCTCTCCCGTTGCCAGCCCCCGGTCGGCCACCCAGAAGGGCAGACGGCCCAGACTCCCAGGAGGCCCTCGGCCAGCAGTCCGGGGCTCAGTCGGATTCCTCCGATTCGGTTCGATTCGGTTTCGATGGCCTCCGATTCCAGTTCGATTCGACCTCGAATTTCGATCTGGACTCCGACATCTCAATGCTAGCCTGCCGATTTCCGCCGGTTCGACTTTACCGTCTCGGCTGCCGATTTCCGCCGACCCGAGACATTTCGATTGTCGATCCGACTTATCGATTCGATTCTGGGCTCTCCAGACCCAGAATTGCAGACGGCCCAGACCTTGCAAGGTCCTCAACCAGCTGTCCAGTGACACTACAATCCCACAATTCCGCCAGCTTCTGCGCCAACCAGGGCGCCAACATTCTCTCCAAGTGTTGCACCGACGGTATCTCCAACCATCGCCCAGACAGCCGCACCCACACACAAACCAACAGGAGGACCGACAGTTGCATTATCAAGCGTGCCCACAGCTGCACCAACAGCAAGACCTACAGCTGGACCCACAGGTGTGACTTGACCATAATAACGTGAGAACTCTGAATAGCGAGACGTTTGAACTGGTCCCGGCAGGTTTCCACTAGCTCTTCCGATATACCACCAGCAATGCTCATGCGCATAACGCGGCAGAACAGTCTGCACAAACCCAACGCATAAGAGTGGCGTTTCCCTCTCTGGCCCGGTCAGCTTTACAATGCTCGATGCAGAGAACATCAGGAGTTTTGAGGACATTCGATTTTCTGTCTCGGAGCACGGTGGCCGATTTGATATTCTGGCCTTTCTTGTTGCCGCGGGAAAACGTTGCCAGCTGTTTTAATTCGTCGGTTCATTATGATGTCCAGTTTCTCGCTTGATCAGTTCGCACCTTTCTTGTTTTTTTTCCACGGCGACCAGCAGAGTCCCCGGCCCGTTATCAGCCCCAGCGGGTTTCAACATAGATTGCACTTTTCAAGTGTGGCTACAAAAGAAGGGGCTGGATGAGGAGGACAAGGTGGATCAGGAGGAAGAGGAGGAGGAGGAGGCGGACCAGGAGGAGTTGGAGGGTGGGAAGCAGGTGGAGAAGCAGAGGGACAGCAGGGGAGGAGGGGGGAGGAGCAGGAGGAGGAGGAGGAGGAGGAGGAGGAGGAGGAGAGGTTCGAGGAGGAATGACCAGAAGAAGTTTCAGGAAACGGATGAGAGAGTAGAGGGGAAGGTTGATGAGAGGGAGGCGTAGAGGGAGGAGGAGGAGGAGGAGGAGGAGGAGGAGGAGGAGGAGGAGGAGGAGGAGGAGGAGAAGAAGACGAGGGGCCCTGCCCCAGGTGGGCCGTGGGCCTGTGGCAGCTGGTCTTGTCGCAGACACGAGCAGACCGCCGGGCCAAGGTGGAGCAGGAGCCCCGCGAAGTCCACGGGGGAGGTACAAGCAGGGGGAACCGAGAGGATACGGGGTCGAGGAGCAATGTTATTTGAGTGCGTTTGGGTTGCGTGGGCCTCAGGGCCTCGAGGCCGCTGGCTGGATCCGCCTGGTTCTCATGATCAGAGACCAACCTGGCGCGTCTCGGGGGCCGATGCCAGCGGCGCTGGCCCAAAGGATAAGCGATGTTTTTTGCTGTTGTTTGTGTTTTCCTAGGTGTTTACAACCGCTGCAATACAGCACACGGTTTGCAAGTGCAAGCCCTCCTTGAGGAGACTTAGTCTCAGGTCCGAATCGTTGTGCGCCAGAAGCTTTTGGCGCCACGAGCGCTGAGTGCGAAACCCGGCGCGTCTCGGGGGCCGATGCTTCGGGTGTAGGATAATGCGGGTGCGACAATGGGGGGGGGGAATAAAGGTGCATCTTCGGTACCCAAAAAGTGCCATTTGGGGCGCAGAAGTGGCACGAAGGGTGCACGCTTCTCCCCCCCCCGCCCCCCTGTATCCCCCTATTAATGAACGCCCGAATGCTGGCGGCGTTGGCCCTGGACCTGGCGACCTGAAGGCCGCGCCGGAGGTCGGGGAATGGATCGGAGAGGGGCGCCTTGGGACGGTCTTGGAGGCCTTCGAGAGCCTGGTGGCACAACAAAAATCAAAACAGCCTTTGCAGTGCCAGGAAAAAAACACGAACGCGACGCGCTCTGCCACGAAGTGTCCAACCGAGTGGTTCGCGGTGTTCCCCTTCGTCCTCCTCCTCCTCGTCCTCCCTGGGTCTCTTCGTGGCTCCACGGACGCCCTGGTTCCTTGGCCGCCATCTCAAAATTGCAGCACTCAGGAAGATCGCTTCGCGGAGATGCTATGTCGTGGTGCTGTCCGCTCCCAAAACAGCCACGAATGTCTTAGGAACCCCGAAGACTGCTCCCTGGAAGCCCTCCGAAAGGGCATCTTCCACAAGCCTCCGACCGGCAACCATCATAATTAGACCTTCAGAGCGAGGCCCCGCGCATCACGCACGGTACGAGCCGGCAACGAAACCGATTTTTAGTTTTTTTTGTTTCGCTTTGATATCACCCGCAACCGTTGATGGATCGATCGATCTTGGATGACGGTGTCCGCACTTGCGAGGGGTCTGCCTCAAGAGGGCTGAGGGCCCTGTGGAGAAATCTGGTGAGGGAAGTCACTTCAGGTGTTGTACGCTGCACCCACTTACGCATAAATCCAGGGGAAGAGCAGATCCACTGCACTTCGTGGCACGACGTCCAGACAGGCGATGTCCTCGCAGGAGATCCAGCATCTACACTTTGCATATGCTCCACGGGTGCTATGAGAGGTTCAGCAACGCTGCAACGCTGCAGCGCGGCATCATGCTAGCCATTGGAGGATGCTGTGTTGCTTAATGTGCTTCTTTGACGCTAGTGATTTACATTTGGTCCCTAGGGTTTGGCGGATCGGAAGAGCTCCGTCATTCGATGTCGTTACTCCCCCGTTGATCGATTCAAGTCTCGACGACAGTCTTTTTGTTTGTCGGTTGGCTTGTTGCCTAGTACGATGACTGGTTCATTGGTTGGCTGGCTTGTTTTTTCATTGACTGGCTGGCTGGTTCGCTAATTGTTTGGCTTGTTGGCTGATTGGGTTACTGGCTGGTTGGATGGTCTGTTGGTTGGGAGCGCGCCTCATCACATTCGTTGACGGATCGTTGCCATGGTTGCGCGGGGCAATCGAATTTTCTACGCGACCGTGGCTGGGGAGACGTGGACACGTCGCGTTGTGTGCTGTTTCCGCTCCCATCCCTTCAGTAGGTTCCCCTTTATTTTCGCGACACCTTCCGAGCCCGATCGAGTTGTAAGGTTCCCAGGGCCCGAGACGAGCAAAACCGCCCAGCTCGAAAAACATGGCGTCAGGATTTCAAAGCAAAACGCCCGAGGATTTGGTTGGGGTGTACCCCTCAGGCAACTTTCCTCCAACCCATTTTTCTCTGGAACTTCCCCTCGCCCCTGCCCACCCCCACCGTCACACTTGCCCTTGCTCAAGAGGTAAAGGCACCACCTCGAACGTGTGCGAGTGAATGTGCGTGTAACACTTGGATCCTCGCTGGTTGTGTAGTATTTCATGTGTCTTACATATGTGGTTCGTTGGTTGGTTGGCTTTGCTCAACAGTACTTACTCGATCGTCCTTGCAGGTGTGCCCATCTGATCGCGTACGCTTTGCGTTTTTAATGATGCACATGTGTGTTTGTAAATGCGTTGGCGGCGAGAGCGCATTAACGTCAGGGTCGGTTACGTCGATCCTCAGCTTAGGCCTTACGTGCCGGGGCCAGCACGGAAACCAGCGGAATTACAGTGTTCGGTTGGTGTTGGAAGACGCGTGCGACCTTGGGTATCCCACGCCGCGAGCAGTTGCCGAACATGTCGGCAAGTGTATATGGACTTCTTTGCATTCGGTCAACGAGATTTTGAACAGTTGCCTCAGCTGGATCGGCTAAGATTGGCGAGTTGGGGGAAGATGTTGTCACGGGTGTTAAGCCATTCAGCTCTTTTACCTCCTTGTGTTTCTCGTGCTTCTGCTCAGCCTCTCGCTGCAAGGGATATTGTTGTTTCTTTATGCGTTGTCATGTCGATCCGTTGTGCCAACAAATGCGCCGCCCAGGGCCATCAGATAGGATGCCAGTTTGCTCTGAGGACCGGCCTTTCTCTGAGCCGCATGCTTCTCGGCAGAGGGCGAATCGAGAGGTTCAGCGGAGGTTGTAGGGGCAGATGCGTGCATAAAGGTGCCGTGATAGAGATTTGACCGTGATAAGTTCGCCAGGCTAATCTCAAGTCGGGCCTGTCCCTCTACAGGGGGAATATCCCAAAATAGCCAAAAAATAGTCAGGGGACGATTTTTGATTATCTCTGAGCATTTGGGGAGTATTGTTTGAGTATTTTCATTTTTCGCCCGAAATCCCCCTGTAGGGGGAAAGGCCCGACCTAAGGCTAATCATTGAAGCTTGAGCGCGTGTCAGGTGAAGCCGCCCCTACCAGGAGTTCGTTTTTTCATGTTTCGGGCTGTGGCGCCCGTGCGAAGCTGTGGGCGAGCATCAATGTCCTTCCAGGCTCCTCGCTCTGTCGAGGCGATGACCTGTTTCCTCTGGCGGCTGCATGGCGGAGGGCTCACCGTGGTGTTCTGTGCATTTCAATACCTTGTTGAAACATTGAAGTTTCGCGTGCCTTCCCTGCTTGCAGCGGCGATGCCGGGATGCATCGTAGTGAAGCCCGACGTTGCCCATAGCTGAAGATGGCCAGGTTTCGAAAGGATGGATCACAATGGTTTATTCCCCAGGCTAAGCCAGTGCAGCTGCTCGGAGCAGGAGCTGCTTGATGCTGAGCTCCCTTGTCCGCTCTTTCTCCTGGTGTGGCGGGCGTTGGCAGAACGAGCCATCGGCACAATTGTGAAGCGTTGGCCGCCCCAGCCCGTCCTTCTCCCTTCGCCTTCTCTCCTTCCGTTCCTCCCATCCCCCTGTTCGCGAGGATGATGAGGGGCAGAGGGGGAGTGGAGTGGTATGGCTCAGGAGGGAAAGAAACACACAGACACAATTAATCGTCACTTTTTCAGAAACTATAGGAACATATGGGAAGTGGGGGGGAAGACAGAAACCCAGAACATATGGGAAAATATGGGGAATAGTTTTATTTGTGTGAATTTTGTTGTGTGTCCCAGGGCCCCTTCAATGGCGGGGAAGGGGCAGGGGATGGAGAGGGGACGAGGAGGAGGGAGGAGGAGGAGGAGGAAGAAGAAGAAGAACACGATTACGAAGAAGACGAAGAAGAAGAAGAGGAGGAGGAGGAGGAGGAGGAGGAGGAGGAGGGGGAGGGGGAGGAGGAGGAGGAGGAGGAGGAGGAGGAGGAGAAAGATGGGGTTGGAGGAGGATCAGGAGGATCGGAGGGGAGGTTACTCCCCGACTTGCAACAGCCTGCCGTGCCCTGCACGGGTGCGGACCTCGAGGCGATTGTCCTCGGAGGCCTTTTGTGGGCCTCAGCACGGCCCAGAGAGGCCCATGCCTTTCGCGAACCCCGATCCGCGATGAGGAGCAGAAGGAAAGGGACCATGGAGGCAGCACCCACGGGGACCTCATGCCATCAGGAACCAGGAACCAGGAGGGACCAGTGCAAACAGAAGACTCATCAACAATGTTGCATTATATCCTCCCTCCAAGGCAAGGGTTAATGTATCACTCAGGGAAGTGCACCGTTGGAAGGCAACCGTTTGAAAATCTTGAATTGCGCCAGAACGCCATTCCTGGGACCTCAATGCCTCGACGATCCCGGTGAGGAGGAGAAGGAAGAGGGAGGAGGAATCGGTGAGCGGAGGGAGGAGGGAGGATCAGACTGGTTACGCCTGCAGTGGAAGTCTGGGGTGACCCGATGGCGCTAGCACCCCTCCGACCAGGGAAGGAGGAGGATGAGGAGGAGGCGCGTCTCCCTTTACGTATCCTTCTATTTTTGGCCTACCACGCCCACCATGCTGAATTCGTTGCGCACTTCGCCTGAGGTGGCACGTTTTGTTGCGTCTTGGTGCCACCGACCGCTACAAGCTTGGCACTCGGAGTCCGCCCAACCCGAAAAAACGGAGGAGGCGCGCGAGGAGGGACAGGGAGAGGGGGAAGCGGGACGGAGGCGAACGGAGGAGCTTCCCCTCCCCCCCGGCGGTCTGCCGCCGGGAAGGCGCACGTTCGGCGAGTGGTGGCAGCGCGTCGCCGGGAGGGGGGGGGGGGGCGCCGCGGAGAGCGGACGAGTCGCACCCAGCTCCGCCGCCCGGCTGCCTTCCCGACGCCCCTCTGTCGCGCAGCCGCGCGCACCGGAGCAGCCTTGAGCATCCCGACGGCCAAAGAGCTCATGAAGAGAAGATTGCCGACTACTGGAAGCAGCGTCCGCTGGACGTGCGAACACCGGCCTCCACAGCGCGACGCGCGAAGCAGACTCCCCATTTCCGTGCTCAGGCGGGGTGCACTAAGGTGGGGTCAGAAGGCCGCAGCGGCCGTGTCCACATGCGGTTCACCGCCCGTTTTCGCACACCCCTCACACGATCTGTGGCCCGATAAGGAGCTCCACCGAAGGCCCCAATGGCCGTCCTCGCATGAGTCTCTCCGCCGATTTCGGCACAGCACACCTTGCGTAACCCCATAGGGAGCTCCACCGAACGCCTCAGTGGCAGTGCCCACATGCGGTTCCCCACACATTTTGGCACACCTCTGACACGTTTCGTTACCCCATTGGGAGTTCCACCGAAGACCCCAGTGGCAGCGTCCACGTGCGATTCCCCTTTTCGCTTCGGCACACCACTCACACGTTTCGTGGCCCCATATTTGGCTCCACCGAAGGGCCCAGTGGCCGTGTCCACATGCGGTTCCCAGCACATTTCGGCACACCCCCTGACACGCTCCTTGGCCCCATACGAGTGGGACCCAGTGGCCGTCCTCGCATGGGGCTCTCCGCCGATTTCTGCACACCCCTCACACGTTTGGCCCCGTATGGAGCTTGCCCCACCTACGTACCACTTATGTCCCAGCGGCCGTCCTCATTGGGGGCTCCACCGACGCCCCGCCCATTTCTGCACCCCCCCTCACATGCTTCGTGGCCCCACGGGGGATCACCGATCACCATCGAATGGCCCAGGCCGTGTCCACAGCGGTTCCCACGCCCATTTTGGCACACCCCTGACACGTTTCGTGGCCCCATAAGAGGGCTCCACCTGAGGCCCTCGCATGGGGCTCTCCGCCGATTTCGGCAGAACCCTCACAAGTTTGGCCTACCTTTGGTTGTCCCAGCGGCTGTCCTCGCATGCGATTCCCTGTCGATTTCGACGCCCTTGCCATGTTTTGTTGCCCCATAGGGAGCTCCGCCGAAGCCCCGCCCATTTCGGTACCTCCCTCACATGTTTCATGCCTCCATGGGGGATCACCATCGAAGGGCCCTGTGGCCATGTCCACATGCGGTTCCCCCGCCCATATTGGCACACCCTGACACAGTCCGTGGCCCCATGGGAGGGCTCCAGCTGAGGCCCCAATGGCCGTCCTCGCATGGGGCTCTCCGCCGATTTCGGCACACCCCTCACACGTTTCGTGGCCCCATGCGGAGCTAGCTACACCTACCACCTAATATCCCAGCGGCCGTCCTCGCATGCGGCTCCCCGCCAATGTTGGCACCCCCATTCACATGTTTCGTGACCCCATGTGGGAGCACCAGCGAAGGCCGCAGCGGCCGTGTCCACATGCGGTTCCCCGAACATTCTGGCACACCCCCGACACGCTCCGTGGCCCCACTAGAGGGCCCCACCTGAGGCCCCAGAGGCCGTCCTCGTATGGGGCTCTCCGCCGATGTCGGCACACCCTCTCACGTTTCGTGGCCCCATGCGGAGCTAGCCCCACCTACCACCTAATGTCCTTCCGGACGTCCTCGCCTGCGGTTCCCCGCCAGTTTCGGCACACTCTTGCCACGTTTTGTGGCCCCATAGGGAGCTCCACCGAAACCCCGCCCATCTCGGCACACCACTCACATGTGTCGTGGCCCCCGGAGAAGCAATTAAGAACCCCCCCTCCCCTGTCCGGCGAAAGTATAACGCACCTGGCACCCCAGAAACGTTACCCTGGCACCTTGCATTTTTATGTGAACGTAGACGAGTCTGCTCGCCGAAACAAGCACGCCGCCTGAGACATTCTCGCAATATTTTGGCTCTTATTCGCCATTACGGATCAAGCCGAGGGCCACGGCCTCAGTCAAGAGGCCTTGGCCCAGCTAAACAGAAACAAATCCTCCTCCTCCTCAAGACTCCCTTACGGCACGGCACCAACACGAACAACGACAACAATGCCAGCAATCAGACTTAGATCTAGAACAACAAGGCCAATAACAACAACAACATCAACATCATAAACACCAACAACACCGCCAACACCAATAACACCTTGAACACCAACAATTTTCAATATTAGTATTATTCTTACTCGCGATCTTAACCTTGGTAGTACTATCATTACTAACATTTTCTTCCTCAACATGATTGTCCTTATTGTTATGATTATCAGTTTGATTCGCTGTGTTATATATAGTTGCATTTGTTTTCTGAATATTGGTCTTATTGTACTTATTGTCTGTTTTGACCAGCTGTCGTAATTATGTTGTGCGGGTGCGGGGCTAAGATGACGCGCCGTGCGTGGCGGGGGCGATATCCTCGGATGCACGACCCCACACGACGACCGAGAAAAACAAATTGGTCAACAGGGGTGGTATTGTAAGTCGTATAGGACCAAGATAATGAAGAAGATACTGAGGAAGCAATTGTTCTTATTCTGAGCATGACTATATTTTGGTATTCGTGTTATGTTTATTCGTGCTAGTATCCGTATTGTGCTTCGGAGTATGATTGTTATTCTTATTATTATTAGTAGCCTTATTATTATTATTACTCTTACTATTATGATTATTCGTATTACTAATGACACTCTTGCTCTTATCGTTATGCTTATCTGTTATTTTTAAAGTATTATCATTGTTCTTAATATCATTATTCGTATTTCAGTATTAGTACTTTTTTTCCAATTCGAATTGGGATATCACCCGAGCCGGGGCGCGGGAATTCATTATTTTCGATCATTTGCGCGGTGCTAACTAGATCTTTCGGCGAAAACAGCCCCCCATAATAATTTAATTACGGCGCGGTGCTAATGCTAATCCCGGGGGTATATATGACAGCTTCATGCGGTTAACCCTGGTCCCAAACCCAAATTGTTTGAAATTGCCTTCGCTACGCGAAGCAGCGGACGGGGACGCACCCTGAGTAGCAACACTGGGGTGGGGGCCCGGCGCCTAACGGGCCACTTTCGGAACATCCTCCGTTGGAAAATTGCATCGGGGCCCCGCCGCCGACAGGGAGAGCTGAGTTTTGACAGAGTGTTCGCAGCGGCGAAGTTGAATTTTATGTACGTGTAGGAGGAGAGATGCTGCGAGGAGGCTGAAGCTGCTGTTCATCAGGATGAGGACGCGGAGCAAGTGAGTGACTGGGTGGACTATCGCAAGGGAGCCCATGTGCAGGAGCAGGAGGACACGACGACGGAGGAGAAGGGGTGTCTTTCTTATCGCTTGCCCACCCATCGCGACATTGACAGTCCATTTCAGGTGACCCATTCGGTGCACTTCCCATTCCTGTCACCCACGCCCTTGGGATGAACGCTCTTTGTGGAATCATCTTTTTGCGTTCCACGTAGAATCTGTCGGTAAAACCGCATTGACTGGTACTAACGGTTGGGAGGATATCTGACCTGAGGAGGCGGCTCGCCATCTTCCGAGAGGCAGCTCGAGCCAGCTGTATTCTGCCGAACATGCATGTTGAGCCCATGGATGTCGGTTGTATATTATGGTTGCCGGTGGTTGCCCAATTCAAGTTTTGTTGCACGGGCAAGTGTCGTGGCATACAGCATGTTGAGCCCATGTGTCGCTGTGCCACATGCAGGCATGCGCATGGAGATGAGTGCGTTTTGTGTTGTTCGAGGTTGCATTCGTTACTACCGACGTTGGTAGTACATGCCGCATTTAGCCTCGTCTATGTGTGGTACTATGGCAAGTGTTTGTTTTGCGATTACATGTTGGTGGTATGATCCTCAGCCAGGGCTAAGTGCCCAGTTAGCGGCCCTCGACCGCCTTGGGCGGTAGCAGACAGTCGGTGTGCACGACTACGGCGACCCTTCAATATTGGGTGCATTGAGTTTCCTCGTATATCGGAGGTTGGGGTGAGATCGCAGTGGAACAGAGAGCCCCCCTACCGGGAAATCGGTTTCGGTGTCGTGTTCGTGTCGTGCTTGCGGGCGAGGTGAAGCTGCATGGGCGCGCGACAGGAAAGATGCCGCCGTGGCTAGGGGCCGTAGAGCCGTTTTACCGCCAGCCACCCGGTGGGCGCGCGGGTGCCCTGGATGCCCCGTCGGTGGCGCGGACGCGCCCCGTCGTTGACGCGGGGTGCCCCGTCGGTGGCGCGGAATGTCCCGATGGTGGCTCAGGGTGTCAGGCCGTGGTGTCTCGGTGGTAGCTCGTGAGATCAGTTGTGAGATCGATAATGAGATCGATAGTGAGGTCGATGGCGCGATCGGTCGTGATCGTGATATCGATAGTGAAAACGAATGATCGATAGTGAGATCGATAAAGAGATCGATAACAAGATCGATCGCAACAGATCTGTGGTTGGGGGTGCCCCGCCACGAGCAGGAGCAATCACAATAGCTCTCTGACCAGCGAAGGAGGATGGATAGTGATTCAGTAAGCCCACGTTCTGCCAGTCACCGTCGGGCCCTGAGCCGCCATTTTCTGCGCGATCAGGTTTGTTCAGAAAAACAGTGCGAGTCATCATTGCTACTATCGTCGCCGCCACTGCCATCTGCCTTTCATAATGGTCTGGCGAAACTCGTGACAGTAATGTCCGTTGTGGTGGCATGAATTTGGGCCGCTGGCATTCCGGTGATGTCCCCATATTGCCACGCCATTTTCCCGATCGTATTGGACACCGCTCGTTGACAGACCGTCAGTAAGCTTTGTTGAGAGATCGGTCATGATATCGAATGTTAAATTGTGAGACCAGTAGTCCGATCGATAGTGAGATCGATCGTGAGATCGATATGGACATCGGTAATGAAGTCGACAGTGAAACCGATAATGGAAATCAGGCGTTTTGAGTTGCTTCCGAGGGCGCATTTACATGCTGTGAGCTCCATCGCGGTTGTGTCGCCTTCATAACCGTCACCATTAGTCATGCTCACCATCAGCGTCATCGTGCCGTGTCGCCACCTCATCGGCATCACAGTCAGCACAGTTGTTGGCAGTGGGTTGTCTTTTTCCCCCCCTTATCACCAGAAAGCATAGTCGTATAGGTATTTGCATGTGCCCTCGATGCTTGTTCGTTGCCTCCCGTCGCGCACTTCGAGCATTCAGCGGCGCGGCTTGCCCGATTGTGTCCAGCAAGGACCCCCGCCCCTTTTCTTCCGGGTGGTGAAGGTTTGGCGAGACCGTCTTTACCGCGGAAGGTTGACAGAACGCATTATGTTTGTTGCCTATTATTTTCCGAGAGCCCCTTGTCCATCCTTTCCTCTTCCTTCCTCCCAATTGGAATCGACATGATGCCTCTCTTCCCCTTCCAAGTCCTCGTCCTCGTCCTCCCCTTGCCTCCCCCTGCTCTCTTATTTCTTCTTTTCTCTTCTCTTTTCTCCTCATCTCTTCTCCTCCTCCTCCCCCTCCTCCTCCTCCTTCTCCTCCTTTCCCTCCGACCCTTCGATTCTGGAGAGCCCTTCGACGATGCTGAAGAGGCCATCGGCCCTGCACTCCGAAAACGGAGAAGACGACGACTAAGACGAGGAGGATGAGGGGGAGGCGTGTGACAAGGACGAGCAAAATTAGGCGGGGCGGCGAATAGCTAGGAAACTCGCGCGTTGCAGGCAGGGCCAGGATGTAATGGGACAAGTAGGCCCAGGTTCTGTCCTGCACAGATTAGTTTCGGGTGCCCCGCCCCCCGCACACTTCCCCACTTCCCGCCTTTGACTGCCGCAATTGCCTTGTCTGCCATCGGCTGTGCGCGTGTGCGTGTAGCTCAACCGCGCAACGGATTCGCGGGAGAGCCCTGCAACGTATTGCATCGCGTTGGGCGTGAGGTGTGGTTGCATTACCGGCTGTCCCTTCTGTTGGCTCGGTTGTCCCACAGCGGAACAGAAGGGAGGGGACAGGGGGAGGAAGAAAACCAGGCGGGTGTGGACCGCAAGCGGGAAGTTGCGGGGAAGTGGAGGTTGAGGAGGAGGAGGAGCAGCGTATACAGAATTATGGACGGCCGTGATCACATTCGCAAGTTCCTCATCCCCAATCAGAGCTTGCCTCTGCAGGGGTCCTAGCGGATTCATATGGTTAGGTTAGGTGCGCCGCCGATTTCGGCGGCACGCCCGGGTGCCTGGGTGCCCGGCCGGGTGTCCGGGTCCCTGGGTGAGGTGCGCCGCCGATTGTCGCGGCTGGGTGCCCCCGGTACCCAGGTGCCGGGGTGCCCAGGCGCCCATGTGCCCGGGTGTCCGTTTGCCGGGGTGCTTTATAGCTTTATAGGCCTATAGCCCCATAGTCCTATAGCCCTATAGTTCTATAGCCCATAGCCCTATAGCTCTATAGCTCTATAGCCCCATAGCCCCGTAGCCCTATAGCCCGATAGCCCTATATAGCCCTATGCCCTTAGCCCTATAGCCCTATAGCTCTATAGCCCTATAGCCAGATAGCCCTATAGCCCATAGCCCTAGAGCCCTATAGCCCCATAGCCCCATAACCCCCCAAAATATTATGATTGGGGCTTCTCTCCGGTATCACATAGTGCGGGGGAGCTCCACGGTATACAAGGAGGGGGAAGAGGATGAGGAGGGGAAAAACGGCGAGGGCGACAAGAGGACCACGGCAAGAGATCACGGACAAAGCGCGGGAATTGGAAAGAGTAGATTTTGGAGGAAAAGGGGAATTTTGGAAACGATCGATTGATTTCTTCTCTGCCTTGTTCTTCCTCCTCTTCCTCCTGCTCCTTCTCCTCCTCGTCGTCCTTCTCCTTTTCTTTATTTGCCATTCTTATTCCTTTCCCCTTTCCGCCGTCTCCCCGTTCCGGGGGTGCCAGTGTCTGATCTGGCTTTTCTCCCGCGACGAGGATATTCAGGAATTCGGGATCGAACGCGTGAGAAAATGGGACAGATGAATAGGAGGAGGAGGAGGATGCAAAGGAAAAGGACTGGGAGGGCAGGGGCTGGGAGCGATGGGATGAACACAGAAGACGATTGCGATGTGAGGGAAGCGAAGGTAGATGACAAGGTCGAGAACGCATCGGGGGAGGGCGGGGGGCGGCAGGTGAAAACGGGATGGGTGGTGGAAGGAGGAGGGAGGGTTGTTTGGAAAGGGACGATAAAGGGAGGAGGGAGGATGGAAACGAATTGGACCGGGAGAACAATGCGGAATGCAGGCGTAAGGAGCTTGAGGAGGAGCGAAATTATATAAGATAAGCCAGGAGGACGATAGAGGGATGCAAAACGAAGGACGGGGGCGCTGGCGGCGCAACACGAAATGACGCAGTGTACGCGAGTAGAAACAATTCTAAAGCATGATGCTGCCACGCCCTACGCAACGCACACAACCAGGCAAGGCGAGGCAACGGTAGACACCAACTGGATTGATCGCAAGGTAGTGCGCGATGCTGCCATGCAGACATATTTTTCCTAATCAGTGCTTGCACTGAAGGGGTCCTAGCGGATATTCAAAGATTTGGCGGAAGTTTCCCGACGATTTTGGTAGCTGGCTGGGTTCCCGGGTTCCCGCTTCCGGGTTCCCGGGTTCTTGGGTTCTGGGCCGATTTCGGTGGGTTCCGGTTTCCCGGGTTCCCGGGTTCCCGGTCGATCTTTTTATCGATCTCTTAATCGATCCCACGATTCATTAACGATCCTATAAATCGACCTCATTATTCATCTCACTCAATCGATCTCACCATCGACCTCATCAAACCATCCTTTGATTGGGTTTGTTTCTGGTGCAAGCTGAAACAGTAATTAGCGAGCAAGGCGACGTAATTCAAATCATATCAACCAGACGTCCCAGAGACGAACAGTCAACCATTTTGGTAGTAAGCTTTGCGTGGCTTTGTTACGTAATCGAATGTGTACGCTGCATGGTGCGCCGAGAGACTTTTGAGTGCATCAGACCATGCTTACTTTCATTTGCGTTCCCCCTTTTCGTGGAGGGCGGCGGATGGGGAAGGGTCGAAGGATGAGGACGGGGCCACCCGTCGCAGGTGCCGCCTCCCTGGCCGTCGGCTTCGTCGCCATTCTCGTTCTCGTTATCCTCGTCGGCGCCATCGCCGTCCTCGCCATCGCCTGCGACGGAGTTCGCCGTCGCCGGCATTGTCGTCGTCGTCTTCGTTTTGATCGCCGTCGTCGTCGTCGGCGGCGTCGCCCTCCCAGCAGGCCCTGGCGCCGGTGGTCCGGTGGCGCCTGCGCGGGCAGCAGTTGCTGGCGCTGCGCGAGCTGGGGGCCTGGGCCTCCGAGTGCCGCAGGGCGCGGCAGGGGGGTCGCCGTCGCGGTTGTCTCGCCCTCTTCGAGCCGCACGCGCCAGGGTCGAGGCGCAAGGCTTGGGACTGCTGTCGCCGCGCGCGGGCCTCGGGAAGGAGCCTCACTGCCACGGCTGGATGCCCCTTCGACTTGTCAGGCCCGGGTGGACCTCGCCGTGAAGCGAACAGATTCCTGCGTAGAGAAGTCTCGCGGTCGGAAGTTTGTTGCATGACCCCGCCAGCCATGGAGCACAAGGTTCCTGGAGGAAAGGGGGCATCAGTTTCGCCTGGTTGGGACTCCCGCGGGGCCTCCCCCACCGACACCGTGAATCGAAAGGTCTGGATGAACAGCTGGTCCCCTCGGGCGGGTGGTAATGGGGGGTGACCTACATGAGGGATGAAGAAAAGCTGCCTTCAAGGGGCCCCCCAGGGGTTGGAGACGAACGGTTCGGGGGGGAGCGCGGAGCAGTCAAGCAACACCACACTTTCCAGGAGGAATGTCCTTGCGTCTTGCGATGACTGTTTTGGTGCTGATATCCTGAGTCTCTCCCTCGCTCCCCCCTCTCTCCCATCCTCGACCCATTGACCTCTCCCTCTCTCTGATCTCTGATCTCTCTGATCTATCCTCCTCCTTCTGGCCCCTCCCTCATCCTCCCTCTCCCTCCTCTCCTCCTCCCTTTCTCCCTCTCTCTTGAGACTCCTCCCTCTCTGTCTCTCTCCTCCCTCTACTCACTGTCTCCCTCTCTCCCTCGCTCTCCCCTCCTCTTGCGATAATGGTGTTGACTCATATTGCTTCTCTCCCTCTCTGCTCTCTCCTCGACCTCGGGGGCGCTGCAGATGATCGCGCCTCGCGCTGGGCGAGACGCAGATGTGGCCTACGCCAAGGTTGTCCAAATGGACTGCGATGTTCTTCAGAGATCCAGGCCTCCCGGCACAGGGTCCGGGTCCAAGTAGATGTGGTCGGAGAATCGCCGCATCGCCGATGCATCCGCGACACGGCTCGATGCGGAGTCCGACGCTCATAATCCCGTCGTCGCCGACGCATCACCGACGCCGCCGATGCATCGGTGATGCATCGACGATGCGGCGCGATCTTCCGACCCCACCTACTCCGACCCCATTTAAGAGGCTCCTACCAGAGGATGGGGGATCCCGATCATCCACCCCCAGCCCTCTGGCGACTCGAAAGAAATCGCGCCTGATCATGTTGGGCATTCTCGGCCTCTGGATGTTGCTTTCGGCTGGGGGCTAAGCGACATGGTTTCAGCGTTGACCCCAACCATTTGATTTGTTCATGTGAATGTGCAGGCTATCTGGAGGAAGCTATGTGGTGCAATGCACTTGTAAATATTGAAGCCGTCAACGCCTCCGCTCGCGCAACCATCCCACCCACCCACCAACAGCTTGTCGGTAAAATCCACATCGGTCGGCGGCAACTACGATGACTATTTCGCTGGTGATGGTGATGACGACGGTATTGACGAGGTCAACGTCGATGATGGTGATGGTGATGAAGCGGATGGGGATGTTATGAGGAGGCAACGATGACGTTGGCGATGATGACGCCGTGCTTGCGCGCAGAACTTTAACGGGCGCTGACATCGACTGCAGCGGTGACGATTCCGACGCTGCTGATGGTGATGATGATGACATTATTGATGATGCTGATTATGATGCTGATAGTGACGCTGATGATGTTGGTGATGGCGATGGCGATGATGATGTTGATGAATATGACTATGCTGCCGATGATGATGCTGCTGCTGATGATGATTACGAGTATGAGTATGATGGTTTTGACCGTGATACTGATGATGCTGATGGTGATGGTGGTGGCAATGACGCTGGCTATGCTGATAACGATTATGCTGATGAGGACGAGGCGACGCCCGCCCGCAGAAATGAATTCTCTGATGTTTGTTGTTGAGCACCTCTGTGCTGAACTGGTTCGGCAACTGCCTGTTTTGGAGCCGTTTCGACGTGCGCGCGCGGCGGACGCGCGCGTGTCGCCCACATGACCTTATTGGTCAAATCTGGTGGGCTAGCGATGGTGGTTCCACGGGAGGCCATGGGCGGCGACTTGGCGAACACCAGGAATCGCATGCCAGAGCACGGGGCGCTCGCGTGCGGCGAAACTTTGGAACCGCATGCAACTTAATCAGAGTGAGGGGGCCGAGCGGTCATTCATTGTCCCTGAGTGCATGGCAAAAGTGGGGATCCGTGGTAGGGATTATGCTTGTTGTTGTTGTCGTCGTCCCCCCCCGCGACCCGCCCGCGACCCACCCGCGACCCACCCCGCGACCCACCCCGCGACCCAACCCCCGACCCACGCCACGACCCACCCGCGACCCACGCCGCGACCCACCCGCGACCCACGCCGCGACCCAACCGCGACCCGCCCGCGTTCCACCCGCGACCAACCCCGCTACCCACCCCGCGACCCACCCCGCGATCCACCCACATTGCTCTAACGAAAAATCGGCGCTTGCGGCGGGCTCGCTGCATAATTTGTAAAAGTTAGGCGCCTGCGGCGGGCTTCTTCAGAACCTCGCAGACTCACGACGTCCTCGCCGCCCCCTCACTCTTATCCGCAACTGCGGAATGCTACATATCAGTGTGAGGGGGCCTAGTGGTTATTCATTGCCCCTGGGTGCGTGGCTAAAGTGGGGATCCGTGGTCAGGATTATGTCTGCTTGTTGTTGTTGTTGGTGTTGTTGTTGTTGTTGAACATTATTTCTTCTTAAGAATAATTATTGTTGGGACCCCTGGTGCGCGACCCCCCCGCCGCGCCTAGGCCGCAGCCTCATTTTCATCATTTTCGTGAGGAAGTCTCAGGCAAAACGGGTTGGTCCGGATCCGGTTGTGTTGTTACGATCGGTTTTCCCTTGCAAAAATAAGCTAAAGTGGACATTTCTTGTTCTAACATAACCAAACTTCAAGAATCCCTTGCAAAAAATAAGGTAAAGTGGACATTCGCGCGCGCAAGACGAAATCCTTCCAAAACCTTAGTTTTCGTAGCGATTTTAACATAAAAACATCAAAAAAAAAACCAATGGTTTTTCACAAAAAAAATGTCAAAATTTCATCCCGCGCGCTCTTGCGGATTCGTAGGAAACCCAACACTTTTTAATCATTTCTGTCAAACGGGCTTTTGCGAGCAACTTTTTCGAACTTCTGCAACAACGGTTGCGCACCTGCCAGGGCCATCATCCCTGTCAAATAATACCATGCGGGACACATTCGTTTTTTCTTCGCGCGCGCACGCCGTCGTCGTCGGCCGCGGGGCCCTGAATAGTAGCCACGGTCGTCCGCATGCCACGAAGTGAAGTGTCCGAACGTCATAGGGCGGGAAGCTGGGTGTGGGTGGTGGCGAAGAGTCGTTTGGAAATTTGGTAGAGCTTGAACCGGCCCCCCCACAAAGTGGGGGTATTGCCCGCCTCCTATGAAAACCCTGGCACTGGTGAGAACGGAGTGTCCCCACGTGCTAGTAATTGTTGTTGTTGTTGTTGTTGTTGTTGTTGTTGTTGTTGTTGTTGTTGTTGTTGTTGTTGTTGTTGTTGTTGTTCGGTAAGGCGTTGACACTGGCCCCGGCGTGTTGTTTAGATCTCCTTCTTCTCTCAAAGCTCAAGTGCTTATCCTTACGGGTAAGCAAAGCTCGAGCAACCGATCTCTTGCCCCACAGGGCCGGAGAAAGGGTTTGGCACTGGGGCGGCAGCGCAATGTGCCCCACGGGGCCGGAGAAGGGGTCGGCATTCCTGGCGCGTTCCCAGAGGTTTCCCCAGGATTTCCGCGAATCCAGGATTCTCTTGCTTTCCTGAGGATTCCCAGGACTCCTCAGCATTCTTTAGGATTCCAAAGGATTCATCAGGATGCCCAAGGCTTCCTCTAGACTGGATTCGCTAGGATTTTTCATGATCCCTCAGGCTTCCTCAGGAATCCTCCCGAGGACCCAGGGTTTCTCAGCATCCCGCAGGAACCCTTGGGAACCCCACAGGATTATTGAGGATCTCCTTCGGGTTTCTCAGGATTCCGTTGGGCTCTCCAGGAATCCTCAGGACATACTAGGTTTTTTTTCCGGATCCCCTAGGCTTCTTCTGGGCCCATCAGGATCCCTTTTTGGATTTGCCAGGATTCCCAGGACATCTCAGGACTCCTCAGGATCCCCGAGGATTCTTCAGGATTCCCCAGGCCCCCCCCCCCTCCAAAAGAGTTGTAGGGATTCCTCCTCAGGATCCACGATGATTCCTTCGGACCCCCCAAGGTTCTTCAGGATGCTTGAAGACCCCGAAGCATCCCTAAGGATTCGTGCGGATCCCCTCACGGTGCCCCTCAGGACTCCTCAGGACTCCGTCGCATTCCTCCGGATCCCCCAGGATTCCCCTGGACCCATAGAGTTTCCTCAGGATCCCCTAGGCTTCCTCTGGGCTCTTCTCAGGACTCCTCAGGATTCGCCAGGATTCTTTTGGATTCCTCAGGACTCCTCCCGAGTCCCCAGGCTTCCTCAGGATCCCACAAGAACACGTGGGACCCCCAAGGTTTCTTCAGGATCTCCCCAGGGTTTCTCAGGATCCCGAGGGGCTGCTCAGGATTCCTTAGGACATCTTCGAATTCCTCAGGATCCCCAAGGACTCCTCAGGACACGTCAGGATTCTTCAGGACCCTCAAGGACTCCTCAGGGTTCACCAGGACCCCCCCTCCAAAGAGTCCGATGGCTTCCCCCTCAGGATCCGCACTGATGCTTCAGGATCCTCCACAAAGCTTCTCCTGGATGCCTGAAGGCTCCTTACGATCCCACAGGAGTCCTCAGGATCCCCGCAGGGCACCCTTCAACCCTTCATGATTTCTCATGGCCCCTTAGTATTCTTCAGAATTGCACAGGAATCCTCAGAACACACAGACTCCTCAGGATTCCCCAGGCTTCCTCTTGACTCATCAGGATTCGTCAGGATTCGTCAGGAATCCTCAGGATTCCTCCCGAGAGCCCAGGATTCCTCAGGACCTCACAGA